CACCATTTAGAAAGGCATTCTTGATGTCTAGTTGATGAAAGTCCCAATCAAGATTAGGAGCTAAGGAGAAAAGGACTCTAAAGTTCATCTTAGCAACGAGTGCAAAAGTTTCTGCATAATCCACTCCGTACACTTGTTTTACCATTAAACGAGCTTTATACCGCTCCACCGTGCCATCAACCCTATGTTTTACTGTGAAAACCCATTTACATCCAATTGGTTCCTTCCCCTCAGGAAGATCTACTAGTTCCCATGTGTCATTTTTATGTAAAGCATTAATCTCTTCCTTCATAGCGTCTGTCCATTCAGGCACCAAAAGAGCTTCTGCCACATTCTTAGAAATAAGAACACTGTCAATGGAAGAGAGGAAGGCCTTAAAGGAAGGTGAAATGTTCTAATAGGAAACAAGGTGGGAAATGGGGTGTTTAGTGGTGCAAGACCTAACACCTTTCCGGTGAGCAATGGGAAGGTCAAGGCCATTAGCAATAGAAGTAGCAATAGCAATAGGGTCAGGAACATCAATGGGAACCAAGGTACCTAGTTGGGTAGGATCCACCCCCTAGAGAGTTTGATGGCATTGGTGGTACAACTTCTAGGTGCTCCACAACTCTTGAACATGGTTGGCCTTTGTGACGATGAAAGAAGAAAGGGAGGAGGAGCTAAACCAGTTTCTCCTCATTCCTACACTCCCCCTGAACTAGTAACCCCTAGGCCACTTCAAGAAGGTGTCGGTTCTTTCTTTCAGCAACACCATTTTGTTGTGGTGTTCGGGCACAAAAGCTACAGTGAAGTGATCCACGCGAAGCAAAGAACTCCGTGAGATCATTATGAAAATATTCTTTGGCATTATTGGATTGAAAAACTTGGATAACTTTTGGTACTTCATCCTTGGTTCACATGGGATACACCCATGTATATTTGGAGTAATAATCAATAAAGATAATAAAATACTCATAGCCACTCTCAGATGGTAAAGTAACAGGGCCCCAAACATCAGAATGAACAGTGTGGAAAGGAAATTCAGATTTATTATTCTTTGAAGAAAAATGAGTTCCACAATGCTTAATCAATTGACAAGTTTGACAAGTAAATGCTGACACTGGCACTGCTTAAACAACTTTGGAAACACCATTTTCAAAGACTCAAAAGATAAATGACCAAGACGACCGTGCCATAAATAGACCTGACTCTTAGACTCTTTGACTGTAAGACCAACCTTATTCTCCAACATGTAGAGACCATCCATCATGCGTCTTCTACCAATCGTCTTCCCCAAGGCCAGATCCTGGATCACATAGTAAGAAGGGAAAAAGGTCACTGAGCAGTTTAAAGAATTAGTGATACTACTAACAGAGAACAAATTAATAGGAAATTTCGGAACATGTAAAACATTAGATAGGATGAGGCCAAAGGGAAGAAAAATGGATCCTTGACTAACTATAGTAGAGTATGATCCATCAGCTAGTCTCACCTTGTTTCTTCCAGAGAGGAGGTGATAGGTCTGAAAATAAGAGGGCTTACTAGTTATTTGTTTATATCCAGAACCAATTATCCAAGGAGAGTTAGGGGAATGGGACGATACATGGAAAGCTGTGGCAGAGTTACCTGATGTAGATGCAAATGAAGTTGAGGGAGGAGGAGCATCCATTTAACGAATTGCCCTACCATAGAACACTAAATGGTCATAGAAGGAATTAATAATATCCTCCCTTGGGTCAGAACCAGAGGTGTGTGTCTGAGTCACAGTAGTAATAGGGGGCTGATTCTCCTTGCTGTCCTGACTTCTTATTCAGATCTGAACCTTGCTTCTTACTCAAATCCTGAGCTCATTTTGGCTTCCCATGAAGATCCCAACATGTATCACGGGTGTGTCGGGGTTTCTGGCAATGGGTACACCATAGTTTGTCTTTGTCATCCACCCTTTTATGAAAGTCCCCCTTCTTAAAGATATTTCCCCCACTTGTAGTAACATTCCCTTTCGTTGCCAACACAACTGCATCCCCACTAGAACTATTCATCAAATTCCTTCTACTTTCCTTTGACTGTACTAATGCATTAACTTCCTGGATAGATGGAAGATCTTTGCTGCCTAGGATCTAGACTTTGATAGATTCATATGCAGGATTCAAGCCATGGAGAAAAGCAAACACTCTTTGCTGGGAAACAAGTTTCTTATATGCTTTTGCATCTTCATCACACTTGCAGTCCACACTCTGACAATGATCTAATTCCTTCTAGACGAAGGTCAAGTTTGAATAGTACACAAAAAGATTCGTCTCCCCCTGTTTACAAGTGGATGATTCTACCTGTAACTGGTAGATTTTTGCATAGTGACACAGCTCAAAATAGGTTTATTTTGTTTGTTTCCAAATCTCATAAGCCATTTCAGCCCACATAAAGTTCCTTCTCACTTGAGGTTGCATAGACACTAAAAGCCAGGACATGACCATACTGTTTTCCTGGTTCCATTTGTCATACTTAGCATTCCCAGAATTAGGTTCTTCAATTCTCCCATTTATATATCCCATCTTTCCCCTTGCAGTAATGTATAACTTGATCCCTCTCGACCATTCTAAATAATTTAAGCCATCCAGGGGAATAACAGCCATGGGAAATGATAGATCCACACCCCCACTCATTCCATTCTGCATTGAGGAAACACTGGATGTGGCAGAATCTTCACCACTCATGATTACAATTTCAGATCACTCTTAAAGTGGGCACAAAACTTTAAAAAAAGGCAGTCTAACACCAAGGAAGAAAACACCTCTTTTTTCCTTCTGAAACTCAACTTTTTTTTGGTTAAAAAAGGTGCTGTTACAACACTAATGGGTCATCCCTTGACCTACAGAACCAAATATAGCTGCTGTACAGCACTAACAGGTCATCTCTTGACCTACAGAATCAAATATAGCTTCTGTTGCAGCACATACAGGTCATTTCTTGACCTATGCATCAAATATAGTTGCTGTTGTAGCATGTACAGGTCATTCCCTGACCTACAAGTTCATCATAAAGGCTGCTGTCACAGCATACAAAGGTCATCACCGACCTACAGCTTACACAGGGATCAACCGATCCCACAAATAAGGAAAGAAAGAGGTGCTGATCACCTCACATCCAACCAGCAGACCTAGTATAGGTTCTGTTCTGGCACACGACCAGAGACAAAAGAAAAGGAGGAAGAGAGAGAAGTTACTTCAGTGCGCTGTAAAAAAAACTGGATCTTCAATAACCCAAACAATAGCTGGCGAAGGAAGATCTGATAGTTTGATGCGAAAGAGGTTCACTCGATCTCTCCTTTCAGATCTGATAGTCCCGCTCTGATACCATGTTATACAGGAGAGAAGAAGAGAGGAAGAGAGAAGAGAGATTTGAGAGTCAAAAGATGATGCTAGCGGCGCCAGCTTTTAGTATTCATACTAGGGCGACAAGACATAAAAAATAAAAGAAGGAAAGTACAATAGTACCCCTGCGGTACTATACTTAAAGAATAACCAACTTTTAACAACCTTCATCCTCGTATTTCTCTAGACATTCACTAGAATACTTCATTATTGTTGTATTTTCTTCTATGATGTATTTTAGGCCATTCCCTGTGGGGGAACTGTGTAAAGTAGATGCTGCTGTTTCCATATCAAAAGCTCTTTAACACTGATTGGACAGGTTCACCATTTGAGGAAAGATCCATTATGGGGTAATTTGTCGAGATTTAAGAGTTGAAAAGCAAACAATTGGTGGTAAGATCTAGTGTAATGTAGATAACAAAGTATATATAAAAGAAGAAAAAGAAAAGAGAGATCTGTTGAATAGAGATAAAGTTATCTAACTTATATGGTTAAATCACTTGTGAAGGAGATGGTGTTCTATGAAAGTGGACATACTGAAATGCTTTTTGCTAGCAGGCAATTCTTGCATGGTGAGTAACTTGGTGTTCCAAGAGCACTTGATATATACTGAAGATTTGTGCTGCTTTTCTGGATAGTGTAGCTGTTAGATGATATGGTTAACTCACTTGTGAAGGAGATGGTGTTCTAGGAAAGTGGACATACTGAATGCTTTTTGCTAGAAAAGGCAATTCTTGCATGGTGAGCAACATGGTATCCCATGAGGGTTTGATATACACTGAAGCCTCATGCCACTTTTCTCGATAGAGTTTAGCTATCTGAGACTTTCATGTAAGGTCAGTAAATAAGCCGGATAAATTTTCCTAGTCTGGTTGTCATCAAGATTGTTTATTTTTGAGCTATACCTCATATGTAGGCTTTTGTCACTGTTCTCATTGACGTCAATCCTAAAGGCTCAATTTGGAAGGAGTACAAATGCAAATTTGTAGAGCGTAAAACCTTGTATTTTGTATGTATTTGCACTCTACAAATTTGCATTTGTATTCCTTCCAAACTGAGCCAAAGGGATTCATGTAGCATCTAATTTTTTTTTTTTTTCATTTTCATTTTGAATATACAGCACATATATAACTTCCTCATGCCCATTTTATTGGAATGTTTTTTTCCCTTTTCTGTCCTAGTGTACAGCATCTTGTTGTAAATGGGCTATTCTCATGCATTATGTTTTTATTTCTTTTTTTAACTATTGCAGTTATGCTTACCTTTCAATTTTTCTATTAAAAAAAGTGAAACATATGAAGAAAATAGAAAATGTCTGTAATGTAGGTCCCTTTTTTCTGTTTATTCTTCTTGTAACGAATAAATAAAAAGCAGTACTTAAGAAATATGGAAGAAAAAAAACCTAAGTTAAATATTTTTCATCTCTTGTAACCTCCAGTGTCATTCAGTTCATTATGACCCACCTAGTTTGCACAACCACTTTAAGAAAACTGGATACTTCGCAATTCTTGCTATTCACATTTTCTAGTTGTTAATTCTAAATGAATGTACACTATGCTTTTACAACCCTTCTGTTCATTCAATACATTTGTGTTAACACTTATTAATGTTGTTGAATGGGATGAGTTTAGCATTTACTGTCATGATGCCCAGGTATTCACTACGTGCCAAACGCATATTCAATGAACTGCATGAGAAACCTTTTGTTGTGGAGCTTGACCTTAGAGGTACATACAATCATGATTGTTATCTTCTGTTAGTTGCCACTATATGAAAATAAAGGTATTTATATGTCATAATTGATGTTAATTATATTCTTTTGATGGGTAAATACTAATACATGTATTCAATGCAGATGATGGGTCTCAAATCCAAGATGTTCTTCTAGATTTGGTAGGCAAGCGCACTGTACCACAGGTTTTCGTGAATGGCAAGCATATTGGTGGCTCTGATGGTTGGTATCTTTGAGTGCACTCATTTTACTTGGATGCTACCCTCTATCTGAGTACCTTTTTCTTCTTGATTTTTATGAAATTTCTGACTGTAATCCATTTTTTGATTCTTTAGATCTCAAGATAGCACTCTTGAATGGTCAATTGCAGAAACTTTTAGATAGAAGTGATTGAAGTGCTAAGATGAAGAAAACACATGCATCTTTGGGGAAGCTACTTATGGTTAATCAGATAATGAATCCTAGAGCTTGAAGGTAAATATTAGGACGGCTTGACACAATGATGCTCAAAAGTTGTCATTTCATATCCACAAAATAAAAAATATGATTGGTTTTGATGGTTCTTTCACTCTTAAATGTTCATGTGAATGCACTCAAAAGCATTAAATGAGGCAATTCTGAGGTGATGCAATGCATGCTTTAGCAAGTTCTGAATTTGAAAGTTTGAATAGAGCTCTAGATCCGTTGATACTATTGTTAACACTTCCTACCAATGTCACCTTTTAAGAATGGTCTACCTTTCATCCTGTTTTTCACTTTGCACTTGTAGTAAACTTAAATCAGCTTGCTTTTGTTGGTGTCTAAGCTGGATATGGGTCAAAATGAAATGTGCAATCAAGGTGCGTTTTTGTTGGTTTACAGTAAATTCTCATGGCACCTTGGCTGATAAGCCTGATATGATTCCATTGCGGTTGCATTTGAAAGAAAAATCTTCTCATGAAAAAAAGAGAAGCCCTTTCCTGTTAATAAATGACAATAGGGTGTATTGGTCTGTATTATTTTTTTTTTTTGAAACTGGTTCAGAGGGGTCGGTATAAGGCCTAGTTATCCTCTGAACCAGTGTCTGACCCGATACAATCCTTAGAGGGGGTGTATCAGGGAGCCATCGACACGATATATTGATACTTTGAACCTTTCTGGTAAGTGGTAAGCACTCAATTTTGCAAGAGTAGGACATTGTCGGTTCAAGTGCCATTAGAAAGTAAAACCATTTTTCATCCACACTACCCCATGGTAGTGCGTTGGGTTATAATCATTATCATTTTGGTATACTCACATAAGCTAACTCTGGGCTCCAAATATTTATATGATTGGTTCTTTTGGTGTTTGTCACAATTTGTGGCCGAACCAGACCTGGGGAGCTTGCTTAGTTCTCTGCTTGGTCCTTTGAACCCAGCCCCAGCCATATTCTGAGAACTGGTCTTAACAGAGATCTTAGTCCAAGTTTAAGAAAGTGTGTACAATGTGAAGTGAATTGATCTACAAATTCTAAATGAAAAAAAAAAGTCTATTATAGACTGGAGGGCTTGCTATATGTGAGGGAATGAGCAATAGAGAATAGATAACTTGCAAAGAGGGGAACTGGTAGGGGTTGGGACAGGGTGGTTTCAGTCCTGAATGATTAAGGGAAAATTCCCGATCAGTACCCTGTACTTTGACTCAAGTGACAATTTAGTTCCCAAACTTTAAAATGCGACAATCCAGTACCCGAATTTTTTAAATGCAAAAATTTGGAACTTATTGTTAATCAGTTGTTAAGTGGCATGTGAAAAGACACAAGTGACCCTCAAGCTTCATTTAATTTTCTTTATTAACCATCCTCTAAAAATCAAAACCAACACAAAAATAAGGCTAGTTATGCAGAAAATTCAAATTTCAGATGTGCGCTCAATGCTTCTTTAACCAGTTTTCAATTCCCCCGGGTTGTAAGTGATGAAAAGGACGCTCCTTCAGCAGCTAAAACGAAACCAGAAGAGAAAATCTCAGATATCTCTGTTAATGTTATACATCTCTCTTTCGGCCACCTAAATACTGATAGTGTATATTGAATCTTTTACAAATACAGCAGAGAAAATTGGACCTGTCAGGCGTCAGCTACACACCAACACCAGTACCCCTGGCCTCAATTTATTGCCCCGCTCTCTTTCATCTGTTGATCATTCACCTAAATTAATAGCATGCAGTTATATTTATAAAGCCGTACATAGATACATAAAATGAAATGGATTTAACTGTCCTCCCTACTCTTCCCCTCTCAATCGGATGGTCCAGCCTTGCTCTTTAGGTGCTGCTTGAAACCTTGTTGAGATGGTTGAATTCATAAAAAATGGTTTTGCATTTTAGAACAGAATAGAGTAATTGAAAAGGAGATAATGACAGAGACACATAGATACAGAGGGAGATACGTTGCAGAGAAGAGCTTTGGAGCTGTGAAGAAATTAAGCACAGTTGCTTCTTGCATACTTGGGGCAGCAGCAAATGTTGCATAAAAAATGGTTTTGTTATACAGTTGCTTCTTGCACACTTGGCATGCACATCGAAGCTATTGTCCATCGACAATCTGGTTGGAAAACCTAAATTGAGAGAAAGCTTTGGAGCATCAGTCCTGAAAAGCCCAGTCTTGGACCAAATTGTCATTCAAGCCAAAAAATCTCCTTTCTGGATTCTCCACTTGTATTACTATTACCTCAAGGCAACCTCTGTGAACATGGGGCATCAGTCCTGAAAGCCCATAAAGCAGAAACCTTCCTAACTAGTTCCCTCTCTCTCTCTCTTTGTATGTATATATATATATCTGACATAGAGATTGGGCTCTGTTTCATTTTTTGAGGAAGAAGAAGATGAACAAAGTGTTTTGTTTTCAAGGATAATTTTGACATTTTTAAAAGTCTTAAGTTGTACATAGGGTCACGTGATATACATAACTGACAGTCCATTAACGGCAGGTACTAGATTGTCGTGTTTCGAAAGTTCGGGTATTGGATTGTCGCATTTTAAAGTTCGGGTATTGGATTGTCGCATTTAAAGTTCAGGGACCAAATTGTCACACGAGCCAAAGTACAAGGTACTAATCGAGAATTTTCCCATTGATTAATTACTAATCAGCACAAAATCACAGATCATAACCGTTTCGGTTAATAGTTGGGCCTATTGGTTCTAGGTATATTGAAAAATATATTTGTTTATTTAAATAATAACTTAAAACTTAATTGGGAAAATTCCCGATCAGTACCCTGTACTTTGGCTCGAGTGACAATTTGGTCTCCAAACTAAAATGCAACAATTCAGTACCCAAACTTCCAAAATGTGACAATCCAGTACTTTCTGTTAACCAGTCCGTTAATCAATTGTTAAGCGATATCTAAAAAGTCAAAAATGCCCTAAGAATGCCATCTAATTCACTTTATCAACCATCCAAACATTGACAATAGAATGAACAGCCCCAAATTCTAGATTCTTCTACACAATCACCAACTTTTTTTGAATAGAAGAGGTTAGGATTTGGGACTGTTGAGTTTTTTTGTTAGCGTTTGAATGGTTGATAAAGAGAATTAGATGGCATTCAAAGGGCATTTTTTATCTTTCAAATGTCACTTAATGGTTGATTAACAGACTGGTTAACGGTAGGTGCTGGTTGCCACATTTTGAAAGTTTGGGTACTGGACTGTCACATTTTAAAGTCTGGGGGACTAAATTGTCACTCAAGCTAAAATACAGGGTACTGATCGGGAATTTTCCCTTTTTGATAATATATAGTCTTAATAAAAATGATAATGAAAATTTAAACTATTAATATGTTAATAAATTAAACATTTTAACTAATACTGTCTTATGTATTATTTATCAAATTTCTCATTTCAAATATTAATAAAATATGATAAAAATACAAAAAAAAAATAGAAAAACCTTATATATTTAATAAAATAATTGGCCCATAGAATCAAAATCCACAACCGGCTCATTTATAAATCAGGACAAAATCTTGGAGACAGAAACGACCCATTAACAGCCCTAGGAACTGGTATGAATCCATGAACCTGAAGTTGTATTAATTTGGATGATGCCCTTATTTCTTTTATTTTTTTATTTCCTAGGTATTAGAGGGATGCTGTTGAAGCCCCTAAAGTTTTGAAAACCCCCTAAAATTTTCTGCTGTGGATGGATATTTTGATCCTTGCCATGGACATATAACTGGAATTGGAAAGGAGGGACCAGTATGGTATGGTAGCACGTAATAAACAGGCAATACCTTGATATCCTTCCCACATCCCTACCCACTACCATCAAGATTCAATATAGTGGTCCCTACCTCTTTGCCTTTCCAGGGTGAGCCTGTTAGTCAGACAATTCTGGAGGTTCCTATTATTTCTATTCGGGCCCGTTGGAAAAAAGATTTGAGCCCAAATAGGTCGGAACTGCAGCAACAACCTCTTCTTATCCATCACTTGAAGATATTGGGCCAATCTAAGGGAGTCTTTAAGCGAGGGCTCAGAATCTCGTGTAGGAGCATTTATCATTAGGGACATGATTATTTCTGTTGAGAGAGACAAGGCTTAAGTCTTGCAAAAGTCTTGACTTCTCTAGCTTACTTGACGATACAAGGAGGGATGGATTTTTATTTTGTGTGCCTCCCTCAGAGAGTCAGAGAGGCTTCTTCTGCTAGGAGTGATTCTGCCTTGAATGGGGAAGCGGAAATGGAGGTGCAGGCAATCAAATCGGACATGGTTTCCGGGCTGCAGGTAGAGGTAGAGGAAAGAAAGGCGTTCTGGACCTAATATTCGTGTTGACAAGTGGATGGAGTTTGGCAAAAAGTTGGGGGGGGAGGGGGGGGGGTTTCAAGTTTCAACTTCAATCCTGGATGGAGAGGCCTTGCGCATTCACAAACCACAATTGGTTCAAATCTCGAATTCAAAATCGGATTTTCCAATACCTCTACTACTCTATGTTGAAATGCTGATGCCTTGTTCTAGTCCTTTCTTGGCCCAGCCTTAGATTCCGGTCTGGGCCTTTTTAAGGTTTTGAGGTTTCAAGCTTTTGTTTGTTTCTTTGGTCTATGCCATGGTGTGGTAATTGTTTTTGTAATTGGGCCTCGCTTTCTTTTGGGGTGGCGTTTTGGGTGCTGCTCCTTGGTCTGGTGAGCTCTACTTACTTTTCTCATCTTGTTCTTCTCTCTAATAAAACGAAGCTTTACCATTCTCAAAAGGAAAACAAAGGACAGCAGAATTTTGTTCTTTGATCTTGTCCATATAACCTGCACTTGGAACTTCTTGTTTCACAACTCTCCTCTGTTTTTGTGCTTGATGTGGACCCACCGAATTTTCCACTCTTGTCTTTGGATAATGCAAACGTTCTAACCATTTTCCACTCCTTGCTTTAATTATCTTTATCTTCTATCTGCTGTCTGACCAACCAACTGAACTATCTCAATGTCGTGTTTGAAGCAATTTCCTCAAAACAATCCTTGGTATCCCTTTCAGTAATAGTAAGAGTTTTGAATGAAGTGATAAAGAAAAGTAGCGCAGACTGTAGAGAATCGTTTTTGCGTTTAAACGATATTTCATTTCATCTAAAGCCTCTGCACTTTTCACCTTCTTCCTTGCAAAAATGTTTCTTTGGTTTTATTCATCTTAGTGGCCTGCCAGCATGCAGCACGTGTTCATCAATCAGACTGCACTTTTTTTTTTTGGGTCCTTCACTTTCGACTCTATCCTCAAATAAACACTCTGCTAGCAATTGACACAGTCATTCATCGATGTGTGCTTTAGCACTAGAATAGCGACTGTTGACAGTTTGTGCCTAATCTACGCCATGTAGAGGATGGATCAGAGCCTTCACCTAAACACATTTGAAAGGTTTAACACTTAATATGAAGGCTTTGCAATTACAACTGAAGCATTTCTTTCACATTACTCTTGCACAGATTTGCAGGGAATCTGATAAATAAAAAAGCTGATATATTTACCTAATCGTATTCAATGAATTAACTTTGTTTTAGTGGAAATTAGCTTTAAAGGCTTATCATCCTAACAGAAGAGCAGCACAAATTTCACCAGTCTTTCCTTGGGAAATATTGGTGAAAAAAATAAAATAAAAAAACTCTACATATCAAAGCTTGGAACTCTAATCAATTTCTCTTAAATCAGAAAGAAGCTGCGTATGTTGCTGGTCGCCAATCGGATTTTTGTGCACTAAGGATTCCTTCTTTGTTTTTGGAAAAGGTCAAGTGAATTTCCCAGTGCAGAGATTTCAAAATGTTTTCAATTTCACGCATCGTGGTGGAATCATCACGGATAATCAGTTTTCCTCCTGGTTTAACTATTCTATCGATCTCTGCTATTACAGGCGCAAGCTTGCACCTGTAAAGTTCAAATCATACAAATATAATCATCAGAGATGACATGAGAAGAAAAAAAAAAAGAGAAGAGATCCCAACCCAAAAATTGAGTTGAAAGGCACAGTAAGTGGATGCATCCTACCTCTTCTTGAGCTTCGAGAATAAGTGGTCAGCATGCAACAGATCATAACTTCTGGGATAAGTGCTGAAAGATTCACACCAGTCATGATATATCCCAAAAAGACCACGCTCGTAGATGATGGGAAGTGTATCTGGGGAATCTATGTTCACCACATTCAGGACCCACACTTGTAGGTCCCTCAGTGCCGCTGCAAATCTATAAGCAAGAGAGAGAGAGAGAGATTAAAAAAAAAAAAGCTTCTTTTTACTCAGTTTCAAGTGCAGTGACAGACTGAAAGTGTTATAGTGTGTTCATGAAAAACAAAGAAAAACAGCAGATTTTCTTAATTACCCGCCATAAACAGCTCTCATGTCCATCACATTTCTGACGTTCGACCAACTGATGCCCAGTCCGGTGAGATAGGACTTAGTCACCACTCTTTTCCAATGCTCATAATCTGCAGAAAAATCATCGGGGGCTGGCTTTCCATAGACTCCCATCTGAGATCTGTTTAGCCAAAAGGGAGGGGTCTCCAATCTTTTCGGCCACTCCTCAGGCCACTGAGACCCCCTCTCAGTCCCGTCAACCGGAACTCTGTGCATGCACGATTGCAGAGGTACATACCTAGAGAACAGATAGATGCATTTATTGTTGGTTTTCCAACAAGATGAGATGAGCTAATTAATGCATAACAATCGAATTTTCTGCAACAAAAGTAAACAAGAAGAGTTTGGTGTGTATTTTGAGAAGACCTACCAAGCTGCATTTGGATCATCTTCATCCTTACACATGGGAGGACTGTTTTGCTTTCTGTTGTCGTAGCATTCATTGGAAGTGGGTTTTCGGTAAATGGCCGCACCAATAGAATTCAATTTATCATTCTTGATGGTGAAAAGATCCCAACACATGGATACTGTAAGTGCTGACATTGCTGCCATGCGTGCATGCATAACAGAAGTACACGAAAGTGAAACTCCGACCCACATAAACAAAAGCTCTATTTTGAATGGAAATTAAGATCAGAATTCTCATGATCCTACCCTTCCAAATCTCCACATCTTCCGGCAGTTTCTGGTACACAGGAGTAGCTGACCAGACAAAGTAACCCCCAGGACGCAGAACACGGTTCAGTTCCAAAAGAAGAGCACCACCTACAGGAAGCTCCAAATTCTTGATAACCATGAACAAGGTAAGCATTGTAATTAGCAACAGAGGAGCATCAAAGGGGGTGGAATGCAGAAATGAATTAGACCTTCTACGTGCCATGGGACTCTGCAACGTGCGCAGTGAACAAGATCAAAGACCCTGCTTGGAAATGGCAGCCGCTGAGTTCCCATCACGGCAGATATTGCTGGTATTCCCCGTTCAAGAGCAAACTGAACTTGGGCCTCGTGTTCATCTTTTGGTGCAAACGACATGGTAAGAACATCTCTCTCGAATAGATAACCACCAAAGCTGGCAACCCCGCAGCCAACGTCTAGTATCACTCGTGTGCGCTTCCCCCATGCGATGTTGGGCACAGACTGCCGGCAAATTACAAAGATGGGGTTTTAGTCTGAAACTCCGAACTCAGAGAGAGAGAGAGAGCATACAAAAATGAAAAGTCCGAAATAATATGAACTAACTACCTGTTGGATGAAATCAATGTAGTGCAGTGCGCCGTGTATGAATTGGGTGCCACCGCCCGGAAAAGTAAGAAACTCTCCGGTCACCTTCACCCAATTTTGATGCCCCTTCACCTCTGCCAGTTTTGTATGCGGAACGTTATGATACCATATCTGGACACGCACGCAAGTTGGTCACAATGAAGAGTTCAAATCTGACAATCGAACGGTTGAGATCCTTTGACATACCTTATCTCTGCTTTTAGGCCACTCGATGGATCTCCTGTATCCCTCAGGAAGTGGGACCAGGCAAGAGGGACTCTCATCGGGACAATGCCTCTCTCGATGCTCGTAGTGTTTGGTAGTACGAAGTTGCCTGAGCGCCTTCTCGTTGTCCAAACAAGGTATGTAGTCCGGACCTGCCGTAACGTTACAGAGTTCCCATGTGTATCCATATATGCTCCCGTCCATGCTGTTGGACTCTCCCTTCCTTCTCTCCTTCTCGTTCTCCGACTGATCCGCCTGAGTAGACCAGGTTTTTTTTGATTCTTTGGACTCCTTTGGGATCTCCGAGTGAGCCCCAACCGGAAACGTCTCCCCTTTCACCTCCGTCGTCGTCTCATTCTGAGTTTTCTGGTTGGAACCGCTGCCTTTCTCCTCGCTCTGTTGCCGAGTTTCTTTATTCTGAGATGCCATGCTTTCGCTTTGCTGTGATTCTTCATTCTCGTCTGGTTTATTCTCTTCTTCTCTAATTTCTTGGGATTGTTGATTGTCGGTTGTTTGGGTTTGCTGTTCGGGTTCCTGCTGCTCTTGTTGTTGGGTTTCATCGTTAATGGCCTCTTGAATTGCAGCTTGTGGAATACTGTTAACTTCTGAGATTTTGCTCTCTACAATCTCTTGTTGGGCTTGTTGATGATCCCCCTCGAATGTCTGCTGCTGTGACTGCTCTGTGTTTTCGTGGCTTTCGATCTCTAACTCCTGTTGACTTGTCTCTTTTTTGGCTTCTTCTGTTATTTGTTGAGTTTGATCTTGGCTTTTGTTACCTTCTGTCTCTTCTCTTTGTTGTCGGGTTTCTTCGGTTTCTGTGCTAGCTTGATCGGAGATTTCTTGGTCCCCTGTAGTTTCTTGGAGTTGTTGCTGGTTCTCTTGATTTTGATTGCTTTCCTTTGTGACCTGATCAGTTTCCTCTTTACCTTGCTGTTCGGCACCAGCAGATTCCTCTGTTCTTTGTTGAGTCTCGTCCTCCTTCTGATCTTTTTCTTCGTTGGCAGTAGTTGTAGCAACCTCGTCGTTCTTATTGGCCACAATGTTTTCTTGTTCAGTTTCTCCTTCCGCGTGGCTCTCTACAACAGGGTCTGAACGGTTCTCTGGCAATAATAGCGACAAAGACTGGCTATCGTCCTGAGAGACGGCATCGATATTAGTTGTCTCAACCGTCTGCTTGGGCTCGTCGGCAGCCTTGCTGACATCGTCGCCCTTGAGTGCGTCGTCAGGGAGGTCACGCTGAGCGTCTCCGAAGGCTGGAGCGTCCTTACGTGGGTCGACTTTGGCCAAGTGAGAATCGGCGGAAGAAATGTCGTTAGAAGTTCGTGTGCTTTGCCGGGGAATAAGGGTTGAGGATGTTAGCATCCACAGACCAATCACACAGGAAGCGACGAAGATGACTACGGTGATTGTCGATACGTAAGATGTCAACGATGACGACCGTTTACTGGAGCGTGCCTTCCCTAAAGCCATTTTCGACTCAGAGAAGAAGCAGAAGGAAAAGAAAGAAACTGATAAAAAAAACTATAACAAACAACCAACGATTGTTTTTGCTGTCGTACTTGGTGTATGTAAATCGGAGAGAATTCGTCCAGGCTGCAATTCCGAGATCCCAGTAAATCGGAGAATTTTGTGGACAATTTCTTCATCCTGACAGGATGGAAAAGTAGTTTACCAAAAAAAAAAAAAAAAAAGACAAGATGAATAATAACTAGACCGAGTCTGTTTTTTAATCACTACAAACTGTAAGAACCACGAACCTGTCTACCCTCCCAGAAGACTCTTGGTCTGTTTCTTGCAACTTGTAGATGTGTAGGGAGTTTTTGAGGAGACATCTACGCGGAGAAAGTGGAAGGCAGGCTGGGCTGGGTAGTTTCGTTGTCTTTGGCCCATTCAATTTCCGAGTGGGGCAGTCACAAAGGCCCAATGGGCAGTCATAACATGAATATTTCTGTCTGTCTGGACTCTGGACTCTGGAGTAATCAAAACTGTGTCTGAGACTCTGAACCAATTGCAGCATTGAAAACCATGAGGACAAGATACATCATGGAGAGCAATAATAGCTCATGAATTAATTCAATCACCAATCCGTCCAGCTTACAAGAGGTCAGCTACAGAGATTGGCCGGCCAGATGTACAGTGCCTGAATGGTGAAATGGCTTAGGAATTAGGATTATTCGACTTAAAAAAAAAAATTAACAAATCATTCTCTCCAGATTGTCAGTCAGGTTGTGGCGTTAACTCCAACCTTTATAATCACCAAAATCTTCTTTAAATGAACAGAGCACACACATTTTTCTATGATTCCTGTTTGACATATTGTTCGATTTTGTTCAGGTTCCTGTTATCGATAATTGGTATAAAATGCCTGTGACCTGACCCAAGTTGTCATACACCTTCGAAGAAAGCAGTGTTTGGATAGTTCAACCCAGTGCCAGCATATCCCAGATTAAGTAAGGTTGCAACAAGGAAATCCAATGGTAGGCCTAGTTTGGGCTGGGCTTGGGCAAATTGGGTTGTGTAATTGTAATAAGAACTCAAGGGTTTGAATTTAGGTATTGGAACTGGATTTGTTAGTAGACCTGTTCATGGGCCGGGTAGCCCGATGGCCCGGCCCGCACCCCGGTCGGGCTTGGTCATGTAATTAGGCCCGCTGGCCTGACTTCGGGCCTAACACAGTAAGTCCAACTGTGTTTCGGGCCAGGCTCGGGATTTGTCAAAAAAGTCCGGCCTGGCCCGACTCAGTATTATAAAAATATATAAATAATATAATATTTATTAAAATATATATTTATGATTTAATATATACATTTTTTATTCTTTTCTTTATAATTTCTCTCTCTCTCTCTCTCTCTCTCTATTCAACCGCTTCAGCAGTAGTAATAGTATGGGCTAAATTTCGGGCTCAGGCTCAGGCCCAGGCCCGGGCTTTGGGCATTTTATGAAGGTTGGGCTCAGGCCCAAGTTATAGGCCCGATGGTCGGGCCGGGCTCGGGTTTGGGCCTTAGAAAAATCTGTTAATATAAAGTGAAAGCCCGGCCCGGCCCATGAACAGGTCTATTTGTTAGAGAATAAAAACTTATTTAGGGATTTTAAAAGAACAGTCGTTCAGGATGATATTGTACGAATGGACCTGTATTGTCCACGCTTCAACTCTGATGGACCTTTGTCAGAGTCTGTATTTCCTATCCACAACAACTCTACCCACATAAGGCCGCAGTCACACATGGGGAATATCTCATCCTCTTACATGTTATTATGCATGGGGAGATGTTCCCAATGCATGAAAGTAGTGCTTTGTGGATAGGCATGTATAGTGTTCTTGTGGGTAGAATATCCGGAGTCCTTTTATCAAAGGGGTCATATTAAAGAACCTCACCCAACAACTAAAACTTTTGGGTTAAACGATTTCTTTAATATACTTGAACTCAAAATGGAAATTAATTGGACATGTTAACTCAAGAAATGGCTTCGATTTTCAGACCATCTGTCCGGTTGTGGACCCTGGGCTTTGAACCTGAAAACACAACATATTAGGCTGTGTTTGGATTGATAGAAAAGGTAGGGAAATTCCCTACATTTCCCTTCCTTTCCCTACCTTTTCCTCCAAACTACACACAGCTTTAATGATGAGCAGCGTTTAGTGGTTGCTGACTACTGATAGTTTCACCTTAAACTGTGAAAATGAAGCAGATCACACCATTCATTTCATTCTAATTGTTTTAATCATCTGGGCTTGTAAAAGAGGCAAAGTAACATCAACGATTCAATTTCTTGAATTCAAGGAAACTACTGGGGGAGCCAAACCCCTCAAAAAGCCTAGTGGAATATAAAGCGAAACCCAACTTGGGCTGCATGGAAGAACCTAGATGGGCTGAGACAGATGGGCCAGACTAGCCACCTGAGAATAATTGTTTATCGAAGAATGCTGAGCAACGAAGAAATCTTCCATGTGGCAACGCAGGAGAAAGTGGCCATAACCTTGTCAACTTGAGAGAGATATCCTAATTTCAATCTATGATCACTTTGTAGGCTACAGAGGGGTTTCAGTGAATAACAATTGTTAGTAAGCCGTAATTCTTTCATTCCATCCCCAGCCAGTCCCCCCCTTCCCCCCCTCTATATCGGACTCTTCCACCGTAAGTATCAAGATTCTGAATCAGGAAAGATTGATGCTTTTGTGGAATAAATTGTAGTAATGGATTTGAAATTATGACTCAACTTTACTCCATTGATCAATAGTTTTGGGGGCTAGACATATTTTCTTTTTCTTTCTCTTTTCCCTTTCTTCTTCTTCTTGTTCTTGTCTGAACACAAAAAGAAGACTTTGAGCCACGAGTTTAAACAGGGGTGAAGAGGAAAAAGGGTTTTGATTTGAAATGGTTTTTTTCCTTTTTTGTTTCTAACCTTTCACCACATGTGTTTGGGATGTTTTATGAGCTGATATAAGTTTGTAACCTGTAAGGCCACATGTAAATACGTATGAAAATTGACCGATTGACGTGGTTTGATCTTTGGACTTGGTCTGAAGCCTTAGAAACTACACTAAGGAGAAAGGAATTGTAAGGGCTTGAATTTAATGCCAATTAATAATCTAGTCCCTCTGTCTTAAACTCAAAACTAATGTTTAAGCTGCCATCCCATCCCAATCATAGTTCAAACCATGGAACTAAATGGAATGGCTGGTCTAATTTGGGGTGTATTTAGCAATTTGCCACATTTGGTTCAACTATCATTTTTTTTTTCTCATTATTATTCAAGATGAAATCCTAAAATGGATAAGTATGAGTAAAAATGGACAGAATAAGAAAATATTGCTAAGAATCAAATGTTTTTTTCCTAAAAAATGAATTCTTTTCAGACTGACAAGTGTCCTATGTTGCTCGTTTTCAATCTTCAAAAAGCTCTCTATCCACAGCCATAAACTGCCAGCCTAATTCCTCAAAACTGTTGGCATAGATATTTACTGGTGGGTAGCCGGTAGTCAATGTAAGTTTTCACAGCAATCTGCCAATAAGCTTATGTGGCAATGGTTTTGTAGATCTAAGCCATATTGGCATAAAGATTCTTTAAAGAATGAAAATGGATAAGATGGGGCATGGCATTTTTTCATGCTGCAGGCTATATATCTCAAATTTTATGTTATGAGCTGATTTTTCATTCTGAAAATATTAAGGCCCTGACAAAAATTTTGTAACCAAATACTCTAATGTTATTCATTCTTGTCTATTTTTACCCAAAATGAAAAAGAATTAAAAGAATGAGACCATGAACAATGAACCAAACATGGCCTACATGCTTGACTTTTAAGACCAATTGATTATGGGGTTTGGTAGCGTAGTTCATATGAAAATATTGTGCTTGATCTATTGCTGTGAAAAAAGAAAACAGCATTCATTTGAGACATAGCTCAATTTGATCATCATTAGAACAAAGATTGAATTGGACCTATAGATAATCTGTCATAATAGATACAATTATTTATGTAAAGTCGTGCAATAAATATTTAAAATACTTTATAGATACAATTATTTATCCACATTACTCTGATGTAGTTTCAACCACTCCACATATGGTAAGACTCAATAGATTGAAACACTTCATGTTTTATTGAGCCACAGTACCGAAGAACCCTTTAGCATATGAAGTGGGCAGGCCTGACTTAACCCTAGCAATTGTTAGCAGAAGGTGATAAAAGTTTATTGATGAATGCGAGTTTAAGGAGACTGACCATATGGCTTTTGTTGGTGTTTGTATGTGTAAAAACCTAAAGATGGGCTACTTGCCTACCTCCTCATGGGATTTCACCTTTTTTTAATAGAAAAACTGAAAAAGTACTTAATATTAACAAACAGACAGAAATGCAACCAGATATTTGTTCCATGCGGGTGCCCAAATATTAGTTCCATTATGTAGTATGTTCTTAATTTAATTTACATACCAAAATGACAAACAAGGTTAATGAACCACACTTGCTGTTCTAGCAAATGGGGAGCAAATCGTCAGTCAAATATAATCTTCTGCCTAACACAGTTTTCTTTCAAACTTTATGAGATGATTTATGTAGAGCAGATGTAGTTGTTCGGTAAACGTCTGGGCTTCACCCATTTCAGATATCAGTTTCCATCGGGAGGGCTTACATCACCCACCGGGGTTGTAGTTCATTCCAGAGGTTAATGGATTCATTATTACAAAGAGAATATCGTATTGCGTTGCCTGATTGTATGTATGGAAAACGTACGTGGCATTCATAAGAGTACCTGCAGCCATGATTATAGTTCTCTCTCTCTATCTATCTATATATCTGACGATCTGCATGTCACATAGCTAGCTAGCATCTTGTCAATTCAGACACAATGTACCAACAGAAACAACTGGAAAATTGACTATTTAATCGTAACTGTATGTTGAAAGTTCAAACCTTAGAATCCGGAACAATCTCTACGATTTTTCACTCGCTCTTAAGTCTTCTGTCGTCCCATCCAAAGTAATGGATGACCCAGAAACTGTAGACGAACAACTCTGAAAAGTTGCGAATACTGTTAGCCGATCGCTCAGGTCAAGTGATGAATTGGAAAGTTACTGTCTAATCATCGCAGCTTTTGGGTTGTGACCCATCTTAATGGCTCTACTCTGCTTGAATGCCGCAGGTTGATTTGATTGACTGCAAGCTTTAATTTGCACTTTCTCACACAGTAGTTGAAAACTTGCAATCATAGAAGGGGAATTTGACGATCGACCAACAACAACAAGGTGCATTTTGTTGACGAGAGCGATGCTCTCACTCTAACAATTCCCAGTAGCATGATTCGAGTAGTACTACCAACAGTTCAGAATATAAG